CACAAGTTCTCCCTAAGTCAAGCCCAGATTTCTAACCCACATAATATCGCAACCGCACATGGAAACATCTCATCCTCTTGCATGTTCTTTATATGCATGGGGATATGTTTCCAATGCACTGGGTAATGTTTTGTGGGTAGAGTTCTTGTTGGTAGGAGATCTAGAGTCGATAAATTCATCCCCTGTTTAGAGAAAGAGCGAGAGACAAAGAGAGTCAAACTAGATAAAAAAAAACTTGGACAAGTAAAAGAAATCAAATAAAATGAAAATGGAAGTATAAGTTCGAATCAAATATCTTCAATGGTTATTACTGAGCCTAAAAGATGAGTTATTTTTTTATTGTTGCAAAATCAAAAGTTCTCATTGGAATATTCGGACATTCTTTTTTAAGTTTGTAAGAATTCAAAGACATTAAAGCCAATTGGGAATTGGGACGAAATATCAACTACTCCCACTCCTGTCTGCGTCTGCTGGCTCCTATTGGACCTTTTCTTAGTTAAAAAGCAACCACATATTCTAAAATGGTATCCATTTGAATCCACAGCCTTGTATTAAAAAGTAGGAAGATGAAACGATTTTCCACTACTCTCTTTTCAATTAAATTAACATCCCTCAAAGAGTCCAGATCTGCTGTTCATACAAACTCTGTTCATGTCTATCCACAGCCTATATAGTATGGTTTTTAAAACTGGATCGGACCGGACAGTCGGATCAGAAAAATTGATCCGTTTTCCCCCAAAATCATTGATTTTGGTCAGCAAACCACTAAATCAGCTGGTTAACCGTTTGAACGGTTTTGACCATTTTTTAAAATTTTTTAATTTTTAAAWTTTTTTTTTTGTTAGAACGAACTAGCCATTCGAGACAAATGGTCGGACCGTTCGGACTGGTAACTAGACCCTTAACTGGTTCGATCACCAGTTCGTTTTTAAAAACCATGCTACATAGTATTATGCAAAGATAGATGTTCCCAATTTACGGGAGTCGTGTATTCTGGGTAAATATGGACAAAGTTCTCAGAGATCCAGAATCTCATCCTCCTATACAAGTATCATACAAGGGGAGATGTTTCTAATTCACGGTGTAGTGTATTGTGGATAGACGTGGGCAGAATTCTCATAGAGAGGAGATCCGGAGTCCCCTCAAAGATCTTAATGTTGGTTCATTGATTTGCAAGAAGATGGAATTTTGTATTTTCTATTTTTAAAAATCCAAAATCCACGTGGTGCACACAAAGCTCGTATTTATTAATTATATCTGTGACCACGACAACCTACCCTCGGCCTCCATTACAGACATGACCAACTGACCAAGTGACCCACCTCATCTCGTCAAAGATCAAATTCATGGATTTAGTAATTCACCCCTTTGACCGGGAGCGGCAAATTATATTTATTTAATAGGGGATTAAACTTTAGACTTTAGATAAGCTTTTAATAACATTTATTTTTTGTCTTCTAACATTTGATTGACATCAAAAGTTGTTGAATATTTATATACATTAAGGGCATTGTCATGTAGGTTGTAACTAGTAATCAAGTGTCTATAACAATTAACAATAACAAGTGGTTGGAGGTTCAGCGGCTCAAGCAATCGATTCACTGGCATGTTTTTCAAAATCGGACTGGATGGTCGGATCGATTGACTAAAAAATCGGTCAGGAAATGTTCCGTTTTACCCTAAAACCGGTCGGACCGGTTCACTAACATGGGTTTCTGGTTTGTAAAACCTTGTTCATTGAGTTAACATTGTTGAYTAATATAAGTGGTTCGGAGACAACCCAAAGCACTAGGGGTGTAACTGGATTGGATTCTGATCTGATTCGATCCTATTTTGTCAGTTCGAATCCCCTCCCCTTTTAGATCTTTGAATAGGATCTGATCAGAAATCGGATCATCCCTCTATTTGATTCATGAAGATCCGATCCAACACATATAACACGTATATATTATGTATTATTTATTGCATTTTTGTAAATTTATTATATTAATTATTTTTTATAAAAAACATGTATTTATATGATGAAAATAATTGAAAAGATACTTGTATTTTTTTGTTTTTCTTTTTTAATTTATTATATTTTAATTTTCTTTTTATAATTTAATAATTTTTAAGAAATTTAAGTTGAACCGGATCAGATTAAAAAATCTGACTTCTTCATTGGATTTGAATTTGAATCCATGCTTATAAGATTCAATTGAATCTTCATAACGAATCAACCCTTAACAATACCAAATCAGATTCCGATGTACCCTGACTCGAATCCAATCCAATCCATTTGCATTCCTACAAATCACAAACTGGGTGTCCAGTGGATCACTTGATGGTCTGACACCAAATTACTTATACTTGTTTTCCTACACATCATCTTATCTCGACTAGCTGATCACTTGTTTGGATCTTCATACATGTTTGATAAAACACATCTTACACAGTAGTTGTTGATAGGTGTTTTTAGGTGAGGATGAAGTAGGGGTGTATAACTTGGGCGCGGTCGGATTAGGTTTTGGTCAAAATTTGAATGTGCTCGTCCCAAAGGTCCAAATCTGAAAACTGAAATAGTGTAATATACTAATTTGGGCCAAACCAGTTACCCCCTAACGGTGTTTTGTTGATTTGTGGTTGGTTCTATTTCACCATTGGCTGGATGAATCCGTACGATTTTGTTTTAGGGTTCAGGTCTCCTCCCAATTGAAAACCGCCCCCAACACATTTAAACACGGTCTATGTTTATACAGCGCATACATGATAAGTCCCGGTCTTGTGAAAGATCTGAGTTTACATCTGCGCCCCCTTAATGTCCTACAGTACATTCCTGCTGTGTATTAGGAACTTTTCCCGATGATGATATCATCGGCTCTGGTACTATCATCGGGAGATGTTCCTAATACACGACCGATATGTGTTATGGGACATTTGCGGGGCACAGATCTGAACTTGATAAATCTCATTCTTATGGTCAATGTTGGGATAATTTTTTGTTTGTTGGAATAGATTCCATATATATATATATATAAACGTCATCACCATTATTATTATTATACAATTAGTGTTTTAAATTCTGACCCAGAGGTTGAACCACTTTTTTTGTTGGTTCAATGAATCAATGCCACATATTAGTAAAATAGTAAAAAGAAAATAATAACAATTTCGGAGAAGTACAGATAGACCCATTGCAGAATTCTGATTTCTACTGCAGATCTATAATATTTCAAAAAGTCAATTACTCCTATCCTATGCATTAATGCTCGCCCCTAAATTGACATCAATTCCAAGTTGACACCTACCCAAACTATAATTTGTACTTATGAATTCTGACCCTAACAATTTTGAACGAATCAGCTAAATCAACGGTTTAATCGTCTTGATATAACGACGGTCTGTCGAGTCAATGGTTTTTTTGGTAATGCAAGGAATCAAAGATTGACCGTGTCTGAGTCAGCAAGCAACCGGTCCACTCTGCGGAGTTCAACAACGAGTCGAAAACGAAGTATGTATGTCTTCAATTTTTTTGATAAGCAAGTCTTGGATTCTAAGCTACTGTCTGTTCTTTACTGCATGTAAATAATCATAATTAATTGATATAATATTTGGATGGTTAGTTAGCCCATAATATAAAAGTGCTCTTATTGAAAAAACGATGAAAGTGCTTGCCACCAAACTCCCTCCCCCCATTCTTTATTCTTTAACAAAAAAGAAAAAAAAAGAAATATTACATTCGCATGTGTGTGACCTCTCTCACACAATTTAGGGGTGTTAATTGGTTTGGATTTGCTCCAATCCTATCTAATCCAATGTAAATTCATTATAAACGGATCAAGTTCAATTTAATGTAATGAATATTTTGGACGGATTTAATTTAATATTTTGACCATTCAATTTGTTAAAATTTGTTTTAATTTAGATTGGTTTCAACTCAAACCCGATTTATTGACACCTATATTCTTATCTTATATCAATGCATAGATATTGGCTTAATCCAACCCAATCTAATATAAATTTATTAGAGATGGACCAGGTCCAATCCAATCTAATAAATATTTTGGACCAAATTGATCCACTCCAATATGTTTTATCGGTCTGTCCAATCTATTCAAATTAATTTTGTTGGTCTGTCCAATTAATCTAAATTGATTTAGAACTGAATGGGGTCCAATCCAAAACCCCTCTACTGACACCCTTTCTATTAGTGTATTACATGGGCCTGATTAACAGTTTGACTCTTCCACCCAAAAAAGAATTTGAATTACCTAAACGCTTTAACTATTTAACGGGCTGTAAAATTAATGATTAGATTTTATACCAATAATAAATTTATAGGTCCTACTATAAAAACATGGCCCCCATATATTTTAATACAAATGCAGAACCTTGTTAACTCGCTGAATAGAACCAATCTAGAGACCACAGCCCGCTAAACAACTAAAAGCGTTGAGCTAAACCTTGCTCCCAAAAAAATCTGGGAATACTACTTCGAAGTGGATATCATAATCGGTAGCACGTGCCCGTGTGAGATTGAACATGGAGTCCATCCACATATTTTTTGAGGCTTGGACTCGCTATGGATCTACCCACCCATGAGTCCAAGTCCAGTACCCATACCATTCGGTAATAATTCCTACTTTGCTGTTTTCTGTGTATATGTGTGCCTTGGCATTCATCAAAGCTCATGGGGCCGGTGGGGTGGGTTTCGATTTTAACTTTTAAGTTTTAACGAGTTCAGTGAGGTTCCAGCACATGCCCTCCGATTGGAATCTACGATTTTAACTGTACAGTCTCTCCTCTCCGAGCACGACAGACGTGTCTCTGTACGGACAGAAATGGCACTTTTAATACAGCAACTTTTTTTTTTTTTAATTTTTAATTCTACCTTTCACTTTTTTCTTTTCTGTTAAAAAGAAATAAGAAATATAATTAATAAGCAGAAGTAGAACCAGTTTCTACAGGAAGTATTATTGTCTTTTTCTGTAATGCCGAACTACAAAGAAAATTTTAGAAATTTTAATTAATAATGATGAGAGGGAGAGAAGTTCAATTGCAGCAGGGAGAGAAAGCTGGGAAGGGGAAGACTCGCTTTTCTTGATCTCTCTCTCTCTCCTCCTTCGCACCTATTTGTCTTGTATGCTTTCTCTCGCTCTGCTTCTATCGATCTTCCCCTGTCGTGCCCACTCTCGAAAACAACGAAGGAAGGGAAACAGATATTTTTGAAGAAACTACAATAGCTACATTCAGTACCTACTAATTTTACTCTACGGAAATTTTGGCGGAAGGACACAAATGGGAATCGCCTTCGAGGATGCGATCAAGCAATTCCAAGCTTTGATGGATGAAGGTCATCTTTTTCGATCTCCCATTTTAGTGCCACTGATCTTTCGATTGGCGAACCCTAACTCTTGTTTTTTTGGCTATTATTGCAGTAGACGAGCCATTGAAGATTACGTTTCAGGTCTCTCTCTCTCTCTCTCTCTCGATTTATTTGTGTTTTTTAGTTTCTCCGATCTATGTGCTCCTTTTCTTTCGGTGACAGTTTTTATTTTTATATTTATTTTGGTTGGTTCACCCTGATCTGTTTCTATAGTTATATAGTAGTTTTGGGGTTCTCTTAAGTTGATCCATTTCGTAATTGTTTGGGTTCTAAAAATTTCTTTTAGATTGGTTAATAGCTCAAGTGCTGCTGTGAATTGGTGGGCGTTTTTATTTATTTTTCTTTTCCAACTGTTTTTTGTTGTTTTTTTTTTTTCTTCTTTTTTCTGGTTTGGTTGTGACATGGGTTTCAATTGTGTACTCCTTGAAAGTTCAGGCGGTAGTTTAATTGTTTATACGATCATTACTGGAATATTATGTCATAACATCTTAGTGATACAAAATTGTTTGATCTATGTAACTTAGTGTAACCATTGGAAAATTCTTTTCTTCCCTTGTTGTTAGTTTAAGTAATTTCAGTGTAACTATTACTTGTAATTTGTAAATAAATAAATAAAAATAGTGTAACCATTGGATKGTCTGATATGATCTATGGTTTCAAGTTGAATCCACGGTGTCAGGGTGTTGTCTGTTCTGACAGATTGATCCATTGGCATGATTTCTTTTTCTTTAGATATTCTCTGACTTGAAGTAGCTGAGTTATAGGATAAAACAATGCATGAATTTCTGATTCTCAAACCCAGCAGACTAGATTTGGACCTCATCTTTCTTCTTTCTGGGTAAGCAAGACAGAGTGTGTTATTGAACGTGAGTATCCATGAAATTGTTATATGCAATTTTAATTGTACCTATGGTAACCAAAAGCAGCAGGAAGCAAGATCAAATGAATTGGCCTAAGGACGATAAAAGAAGTGGGATATTATGAGATAGAAAGCATTAAATTGCCAGGGTACACTGTCCACATCCTACACACATACAAGGTTTGCAGTTTTGCACGGTGTAGACCTGATTGCGGTTCTGGTTTTATCCAAGACCTTTGACTGGTAGGAAGATTTACCACACCCCTTCAGTGAAAATATGATTCAAGTAATGAAGTAAATGCTTTATTTCAAGTAATTATTATCCTTTTGTTTTGAATGTACATTCTCTCAATTCCAAATTTCATCTTATAGGCTTATGCTAAAATGACTTAGATTTGCAGAAAGACTGCTTTCTTTCTATTTGCTGCAATGTTCTTCATTAAAGATATACTTTTTCCATTTAGCTGTAAAATCATATTAATCTTCTTGGAGTTTCTGCTGAAAACTTATTTTCTGATCATCAGAATATTCATCAAGGATACCCAGCTGAAAATTTAGTTCGGTTTCTTAAGGCGAGGGAGTGGAATGTTGCCAAGGCACATAAAATGGTTGGTTACTGTGATTGAAATATTTCATTGAATCAATTATGGATATATCCCTAAAACTCATTACTTTTTTAAATTAACTCTCTCTCTATCTCTCTCTCTCAAAATACTGAAATGTCTTTATCTTGTTCCAGTTGGTGGATTGTTTAAATTGGAGAATACAAAATGAGATTGACAATATATTAGCGGTGAGTTTTTATCATATATGTGAAACCTGCATTCCATTTCTATGGTTAATTGATTGTCAAATGCTTATGATTTACAATATAATTCAAGATTAATTCATGAACCCCAAGGGCTTTGATTTGTATCTTAGGTCTTAGCCCTTTTCTGCAAAAATCTTATTATTTTTGTTTCAACCCAACCATTTGATCCATGAATCTTATGATTTAAATGGTTCATGCGATTTGAATCAATTCAGTTAAGAATTAGTTCTTTTAAGTTTTATCAAGAGAGACTTGTTTTAAAGCCCTTACCAGAAAATGACTTATTTAGGTCATTTAATATCCTTTAGAAACAATTAAAAAAATCATTTTAGGCTCCTAATGTACAAGTAGTAAGCTCTTTTTTTTTTGGAAAGCAGCATATTCATTAAAACCAACAGAAAACAACTACCAGTTTGGGAAGAAAACCCCCAATAAAATAAAAACAAACCAAACGCAACTACTAAATATTAACAAACTAATCTAAACTGTTCATCAAATCCTGAGAGAAAGATCTTGTAAATTTGGCAGAGGATAGCCAATTCATTCCTCATATGCTGATGCAGCCATGGAAGCTGGATGATGTGCCACCCTATTCCAATCTCTTCAAATAAAACAATGGTTGATCTGTTGACTTTCCAGTGTCCCAACCACATCAAGAATACCTAGTTTCGCATCCATCTCCACATCTAGAACTCTATTGTTTTAGGTATGTTATAGTATATATGGATTAAAAATAAGGTAAAACAACTCTTCTATGTATTGGTACATGTTCCTAAGTGATTTCTGGGCCTCTCTTTGTATGCATTTATTTCATCAGCCAAATTTATATTGTAGAAACCACTGATGTGGTCCCCACCTCTTTCTAGTGTACTCGTATACAACTACTAGTTATTTAAGTGTTAGTCCACAATTAGTTGTTAGTCTTTTATTAGGATTTTAATTTTGCCATCTAAGCAGTCTTATCCTTACTTCAGAATTAATATAAATAGAAAGAGGGGGGCGGGAGATTAAGCATCCTCTTCTTTTCTGAAATCCTTCTTTCGAAATCTTCTTCTCTTCTTTTCTCTTTCTCCTCTTATTCTCTCCTCTCGTCCTCTTAATTTCCCGTTGATTATACACCACAGCTTGGGCTGTTAGTAGTCTCGTACGACTACATGGTATCGGAGCCAACCTAGGAAATCTTATGATAGTCTGACATGGCCAGTTGCATAAGAATTTCCTAGGGTTGGAAAATTTCCAGCAAAAAGGTTCATCGGCTGAGTCTTGGAGATTGTTGGTGAAGCATCAGAGGATGACCAGAAATCAGGAAGAGTCAAAAGGAAGAACCCTCAAGATTAGGGTTCAGACTTGATTTTGAAGGTTGTGGCCAGAAAGTCAGAAGGAAGAACCCTCAAGATTAGGGTCCAGACTTATCTTTGAAGGTTGCGGCGAGAGTTTTGCTGAAATAAGTCAATCTTTTCTATTAAAAAGATTACCTTTTCTGGTTATTTCAAAGGTTCGACTGAAAGTTTTTTCCTCTTGAACTGTTCTTGATACATTAAAAGAATAGTTTTTTGGTTACTTTAAGAGGTGCAGCTGAGAGATCCCCTCCTTTCCTAGCCATTAATTGTGTTCTTGGCTTGTTTCTTGACCTTTGATTGGTTCTAGGTTCAAGATTCTAGTTTCTTGACTRTTGCCAATTCTAGGGCTGCAGTTAGTTTCAGCCTTGCACTCTAAGTTGTATTTGGAAGGTTACCTTTTTTGGGTGGATTGCTGACCTAAAAGGATAAAGTAGGTTCGGCTGATAGCAAATGTTGGGTGTAATTACCCGTTCTCAGTGATACAAAAGGCATTTATTAATCTTTTCTTGACAAAGAATGGAGTTTAAGAGCCAAGGGGAAAACTGTTTAGGGGTTGGTGGTGCTGGTAGCATACCTGAGAATAGTTTTCAGATTACTACTGTAAAATTTGGTGGGTCAAACTACCTAGAGTGGGCCCAATCAGCCATGATGGCTATTGGGGGTAGAGGAAAGCTAAGTTATTTACTGGGAGATGTCAATGAACCGGCCAAGGAGGACCAAATATATGACATGGCTGTGTAACTCCATGCAGCCACATATCAGCTGGAATTATTTATGGGCAAAGACAACTAAAGAAATTTGGGATATCATGAAAGAAACTTACTCCCAACCCCTCAATGTTGTTAGGGCCTATGAGCTAAAGTGTAAGGTGAATAACCTTAAGCAAGGAGAGAAGCCAGTCTCGGTTTATTTTTCCACCTTGAAATCCTTGTGGCATGAGATTGATCACTTAGAAACAATTGAGTGGGAAAGCCAAAAGGATGCACAGACCTACAGAAAGCAGGTTGAAACCAATAGGGTATTTGAGTTTCTAGCTGGTCTGAATTCTGAGTATGACATTYTGAGACAACARCTTCTAACAAGAGAYAGTGTGACCCTATCACAAGCTTACTCTCTAGTGCACAGTGAAGAAAGTAGAAGGAAAGTTATGTTACAGCATTTGCCACTTGAATCAGCCTTGGCAGCAACTAAACCCAAGTTTGGGGGGGATAAGGAGAGAGATATGAAGAAGGAAGACAAGAAGGACCTAATATGTGAACACTGCAAGAAACCTAAGCATTGTGCAACCTCATCAGGCACAAGAGCAGCACCACTAGACACTCTAGCTGCTACCTGAGCTTCCTTGACTCAGTTGGAAAAGGAGGTTGATAATTCAGTATCATCATCTTAGCCAGTCACAGCATCAGCTCCTCCCACCTTAGCATTTGCTCATTCAGGTACACGGGCCTCAACTTATCATGCTTCAACTCCAGGTAGCACTGAACATTATTGGGTAATAGACTCAGGTGCATCTGATCATATGACTGGTTTGCCTTCACTATTTACTACCTATCACTTATCCTCTGGTAAAGACAAGGTGTCTATTACTGATGGATCACTTGTTCCCATTTCTGGCAAGGGAGACATCAAGTTGTCTAATGCCATTTCCCTGTCTTCTGTTTTGCATGTTCCTAAACTTAGCACCAATTTACTTTCCGTTAGCAGCATTACTAAAAACCAGAATTGCTCAGTAACATTTTTTCCTGATCGATGTGTTTTTTAGGACTTAAAGACAAGGAAGGTGATTGGAACTGGCCATGAGACAAATGAAATCTATCTGCTTGGAGGAAGTTCACAGTGGGAAGGTAGTGAAGCTAGAGGGTCTTTTGTTTCTCAGTCTATTGGTCAAGTCATGCTTTGGCATAACCGATTGGGTCATTTATCCTTTAGGTCTTTGGAAAGCTTGTTTCCTAGTTTATTTGAATCTATCCAGATGTCCAGTTTAAAGTGTGAAAGTTGTGAGCTTGCAAAGCATTGTAGAACAACCTATTCATTAAGTAATAAGAGAAGTAGTGTTCCTTTTGACATTGTGCATACTGATGTTTGGGGACCATATCACATCACTGCTATGGGGGGGTACAGATACTTCTTGCTGTTTGTTGATGACTACACCCAGTTTTCTTGGGTCTACTTGATGTGTTCTCGAGATGAGGTCCCTACCCTAATGCAGACCTTTCATCAGATGATTTAACCTAGTTTGGGGTAAAAATCAAAATTTTCAAATCCGATAATGCGAGAGAATACTTTAAAACATCAGTAGCCTCTTATTTTCTTGACCATGGGATTATCCATTAGAGTACCTGCCCTCATATCCCTCAGCAGAATGGGGTGGTTGAGAGAAAGAATAGGAACATATTGGAAGTAGMTAGAAGTATCATATTCAACTCCAATGTGCCTATACATTTATGGGGAGATGCCATTCTCATAGCTGTGTATCTCATCAACCGAATTCCTTCACGGGTTCTTGACATGAAACCTCCATTCACTCTTTTATATCCTAATAAAGAGTTGTTTTCTATCCCTCTTAAAACCTTTGGTTGTACCTGCTTCGTGCAAACTCTTGGCCCTCACTGTTCCAAATTTGACCCTAAAGTCTCAAAATGTATTTTCTTTGGTTATGCACAAACTCAAAAGGGATACTGCTGTTACGGACCTACTTCAAGAAAGAGATTTTTTTTTTTGATCAATAATTCAGGAAAGAGATTTGTATCCATAGATGTTACTTTCTTTGAGGATGTACCTTATTACTCTAGGGTTTCTTCTCAGGGGGAGATTTGTACGGTTGGGGTTAACACATCAGAAGTCCCTTTACCTGTTCCATTGAGTGAAGAGGGGTGTAATGGGGAGGGTTGTCAAAAATGTCAGGATTTGAGAGTTTATCACAAACGATGGAGGTAGGTTGATTTCGGTCATCAGTAGTCCAGGCCAGCCCCAATTCCTTCTGAAGATCTAGATCTAGGTACTACATCTCTTCCAGTTCCCATTACAGATGATCCTTCTGCTGTTGAGCCTTCTCCATCTTCTGAGCCCTCACTTCCATTGAATGACCTTGACCTTCCCATTGCAGTCCGTAAAGGCAAACGCCGTTGCACCTCATCCACAACTCACTATATCTCACAATTCTTGTCCTATGATCACCTGTCTCCCTCTTACAAGTCCTTTCTTACATCCATTGCTAATATTCTCATTCCTAGAACAATATAGGAAGCCCTGGCCATTCCTGAGTGGAAGGATGCAATGAAGGCAGAAATGGATGTCCTTCTGAGAAACAATACCTAGGAGCTAGTTGATCAACCCAAAGGGAAGAAACCAGTTGGATGTAGATGGGTGTTTATTGTGAAACATAATGCTGATGGTTCCATTGAAAGGTATAAGGCTCGGTTAGATGCAAAGTGATTTACTCAGACTTATGGTATAGATTACTTGGAGACTTTTGCACTGGTAGCAAAAATGACCACTATCCGAGTATTATTATCTCTTGCAGCAAGTTACTCTTGGCCCTTGTTCCAAATGGATGTTAAAAATGCTTTCCTCAATGGAGACTTGCAAGAAGAAGTGTACATGCAGTTACCTCTTGGTTTTTATAGTATAGAGACAGGTAAGAAGGTTTGTCGGTTGAATAAAGATTTGTATGGACTAAAACAATCCCCCAAAGTTTGGTTTGATAGATTCAGACAAGCCCTTGAAAAGTTTGGCTATGTGTAGGCTCAATCAGATCACACTTTGTTTATTAAGAAAGTGGATACTTCCTTGACTCTACTTGCTGTATATGTGGATAACATTGTAGTAACAGGGAGTGATAACAGTGAAATTAAGTCTCTTAAGAAACTTCTCCATCAAGAATTTGAGGTAAAGGACCTGGGAGAGCTACGATATTTCTTGGGTATTGAGGTAGCTCGGTCCAAGCATGGAATCTTTGTTTCTCAAAGGAAGTATGTCCGTGATTTGTTAGAAGAAACAGGAAAGTTGGGTGTTAAGCTAGCTGATACACCTATTGAACAGAATCACAAGATTAGTGTAGAAGGTGGAGAGCCYCTTGAAGATAAARCTATGTTCCAAAGATTAGTTGGTAAACTACTMTATCTTTGTCTTACACGACCAAACATCAGTTATGCAGTCAGTGTTGTTAGTCAGTATATGCACTCTCCCAGAACTACCCACCTACTTACTGTTGAGAGGATATTGGCATATTTAAAGAGGTGTCCAGGTAGAGGTGTACTATTCAAGGATAATAATCACATGAAGATAGAAGTTTACACAGATGCAGATTGGGCTGGTTGTGTTGATGATAGAAGGTCTACCTCTAGATATTGTGCCTTTGTAGGAGGTAGCTTTGTTTATTGGAGGAGTAAGAAACAAAATGTTGTTTCTCGTTCCAGTGCTGAAGTTGAATATCGGTCCATGACAAATGGTGTGGCTGAAATACTATGGTTGAAATCACTGTTTGATGAATTGGGTATTACCTATGGGAAACCTCTAATGTTGTACTGTGATAATCAGGCTGCTATTAATATAGCTCATAACCCGGTACAACATGACAGAACCAAGCACACTGAAGTAGATTGACATTTTATTAGGGAAAGGGTTGCATCTCAAGAAGTTTGTCTTCTATATATCTGCTCCAACATGCAGCTTGCTGATCTTCTCACCAAGGCAGTTTCAAAGAAGAAGTTAGAAGCAGATCTATGCAAGTTGGGAATGACAAACATCTATTCCCAACTTGAGGGGGAGTGTAGAAACCACTGATGTGGTCCCCACCTCTTTCTATTGTACTCGTATACAATTACTAGTTTTAAGTGTCAGTCCATGATTAGTTGTTAGTCTTTTATTAGGATTTTAATTGTTGTCTTTTATTAGGATTTTAATTTTGCCATGTAAGTAGTCTTATTCTTACTTCAGAATTAATATAAATAGAAAGAGGGGGGGCAGCAGATTAAGCATCCTCTTCTTTTCTGAAATCCTTCCTTCGAAATCTTCTTCTCTTCTTTTCTCTTTCTCCTCTCATTCTCTCTTCTCATCCTCTTAATTTCCTGTTGATTATACACCACAGCTTGGGCTGTTAGTAGTCTCATACGACTACATATATGTTTTGGTATTTTGTGTTGATTGACTAAATTGTGTTGTTGTACAATTTGAGATGCCTTAGAAACTACAAATAATTATTAAAAGTTAAAACAAAAGGCAATAGTGGTCAATGCATTGTTATTAATAATTGTGTTGCTCTTGTTGCAGAAACCCATAGTTCCTACAGACTTATATAGAGCAGTACGTGATTCACAGCTCATAGGATTATCAGGTTACTCAAAAGAGGTCTGCCTACAATTTCCATTTTCTTCCTGTATTTAATCTTTGCTTCCTGTTCCTGGCGTGTTCTGTTCTCTTGGACTTGTTAACAAAATCCATGTAGTAAAACATAGTTTGTCATTGTTTCTTATATTTTTTTTGAAAGGTACTCATTTTCTTGTCTTATGGGTCTTTGTTTTTTTGGGTGTCAGGGCCTTCCGGTCATTGCTATTGGTGTAGGTCTCAGCTCGTTTGATAAAGCATCTGTAAGTACTAAGCTGCTAAAAATCTCCCTCTTTACCTAAAAAAAAAAAGAAAAAATGTTTCTCCCTCGGAATTCTTAATACATATCTCTTACACAGCTGTAACAAAGTTGTTAGATATAATGTGGAAATCAAATAGGCTTGACATCTTCACTATTCATGGTAAACCATCATCTTCACTTGAGTAGAGGTTTTAAAAATTGATTTCTGTCGATAGATGAGTCATTTTGAAATGAAAGCATGTTGAAAATATAAGATATGTCATATTGGCAATGTTACAAGTTGTGTGAAAACATTAGAGAGAGAGTTAAACCCTGAAATGATCCGGTGGAAATTGGGAAGAGTACACAAATAGCTTTTCCAACTTCAGTAAAGTGTCAAAGGTGGAACCCAAAAGGATACCTAGTGGTTCTAAATTTAATAAAGCAACAAATTTCCAAGAAGTTAAAGAAAATATTATTTCATTTTCTTTTTGTTGAGGGTATTAGCGGTTGTTTCTGTTGTAGTTCTCTTTGCTATTTAGTGGTTATTGGAAATAAAATGAAAAGATAGGTTTTAAAGGTGCAATAATATTTGGAGAAAAGTTTTCTAATCAGATCAAGTGGGCAAGCTCCCTAGATGACCCCACCTATTTCTGCCATGATGGCCAAATCAAAACCACTCATCAGATAATTCGTGCTGGATGGGGATCTTCTGGGGGTATGGTAACTTTGTGGAGAGAAGAGAAGATTGGAATTGAAGAACTTGTGGGCAAGTTTACCGTTGGGTAAAATCTATGAAGATGTTTGTTGATTTCTCAACAGGTGATATCATGAACAAATGGAAGGAAGTGGCTAGTTCTGATTGCCACAAATCCAATATAAGCCCTGCTTGGTCTCCTCTCAACGGTTGACTGTATCAGAACTTTGATGGGAGTAGTGCAGGAAATCCAGGCCCATCTGGTATTGGAAGGGTTTTTAGGGACAGTGAAGGAAAGATCATTGGTTTATATTCAGGCTCAATTGGACTAGGTGACTCCCTAAAGGCTGAGGTTATGGCTGTCATGGAAGGATTGCAAAGGGCAAAAGATCTGAATGTGAGAAAGCTAATTGTAGGAGGTGTTTCAAAGCAGGTATTGGAGTGGTTGCAAAAGGAAGAAAATGCTTTCTGGGCTTTCAATAATGAAAAAAAGAGATTCAAGTGGATGACTCAAGATATGGAAGTGCAGTTCAGTTGGGTTAAAAGGGAAGCAAATGGTCTTGCTTATGTCTTAGCAAAACAAGGGGTGGGGAGGAACCAGTTGTTTTGGGCTCAATTGTAATAAATTTTTGTCTATGGAGAGTTAAGAAAGTTTATCTCTCCCAATCTTGTAATTTTAATTATTTCTAATGAAATTCTGTTATTGATAAAAAAAGGCAATTCATGCTGGATTAGCCATGTGTTTTATCCTGCATCCCACATCAACATTAAGCCAACCACAAATTTGTGGTTTTGTCCAACTAACAACCATCCAAACTTTGATATTTTTAGTTAAATGCCCATAAAAAATTGAACATTTGACAAGGTCTGTAAGCTGAATGAGGAGAGGAAATTGGGGAGTCTGGGCCCCAAACTATGTTGCCATGTGGAAGCTTCTTAGGTTGTTTAGAGAGAACACAATAAACAATCTGATTAACATATCCATTTCCATAGTAATTACTTCTTGAGATGTGGGTGGTTTAAGGTTTCTGTCTTGTTTGTTTCTTTCTCCTGGGTGGTTGCTGGCATAGTTGTCAAGGTGACTAGGCGAGGCTAGGCGATGAAATCTATAAATATAAAATCTATATTTATACTATAATATGTTAAAGAAGAAGAAGAAGGGAGGAGAATAAGGACGAAGCCCCTGTTTTTTTCGAAAAAAAAGCATTGAATCTGGACTGGAAGAAGAAGAGTATAGGGTGCTTTTTCGAAGAAAAAAAGAACTGAAGCTGGCTGGAAGAAGAAGAAGAAAAAGCGGCAGCTTACCAACTGACGCTTGAAGTTGGGCTGGAGATGGAGCTGGAACTAGAAGCCTTCGGTTCTCCTCCCTCTTCAGTCGAGCAAAAACCCTTTCAAGACAACAAATGAACTAAAGAAATGAAAATGAGATGTATTCTATTAGTGTGGCTTAATAATAAAATGTTAACATGTAACCAGTTGTATTTTAAAACAACATAATAGCCAATAAAAATAAATATGAAAAAAAAAATTCTTAAATTTATTTAGGCAACCGCCTAAGTCTCTGGGTGGTCGCCTAGTATACGAAACTACAGGCGTTTGGGCGAGGCGACACTGTAAAACCACCTAGTCACTTAAGTGCTCGCCTAGGTGTCACCTTGACAACTATGGTTGCTGGTCACCTTCCTTGTATGTATTTCTCTTTATTTTAGTAAATTTTATTTTATTACCAAAGTAAATGTAATGGTGCACTTTTAGCATCATCTTTGGGCAAAGTATGGGATCTATACCTTCCATTTGGGCTGTGTTTGGTTTGATAGAAAATAAGTGAGAAACAGAATGTTGAGGCCTGAGGGAAACTTAAGGAATTTTATGGAAGTTAAGAAGCTCTTAAGAACTTTAACTTTCTATTTCTCTCTTATTCTCTATCAAACTAAACATAGCCTTAATGATAGTAATTTTTTTTATCATTATCAATGTTAATAATTTTCTACTGTGTAAAATTTACTTGTATATTTTTCTTTCATTAGGTCCACTACTATGTGCAATCACATATCCAAATCAATGAATATCGAGACCGTGTGATTTTGGTGAGTATAGTATCAAAAGTTTGCATATTTGTTTTATCCTTGTTTCTCCTGTCTTATTGCTTTGTTTTGCAGCCTCATGCAACAAAAAAGTATGGGCGGCATATTGGCACCTGCGTGAAGGTATTGGATATGACGGGTCTAAAGCTTTCAGCTTTGAGCCAAATAAAGGTATATCCTGTGTTGGTAAATTCATGTTAGAAACTTGCTTAATATGATCTTTTCCAGTACGTTGGTTCAGTGATTCATAACAAGGGAGAGAATGAGGATGCCACCTATAGAATAAAATCAGGATGGACAAAACAGATGGGTGCATCCAGAGTTTTATGTGATAGGTTAATACCACTTAGATTAAAAGGAAAATTCTATAAAATAGTTGTAAACCCATCAATGTTGTATGGTGCAGAATGTTGGAAAGTCAAGAAACAAGTCCAAAAATTGAATGTGGTAGAAATGTGTATGTGAGATGGATGAGTGAAAAACTAGAAAAGATGGGGTCAGAAATGAAGTCATTCAAAAGAACCTAGTTGTAGCTCCAAAAGGTGACAAAATGAGTGAAAGTGGACTCAGATGGTTCAGTTAACAACGGATGTCCTACAACAGTTCCTGTAAGAAAAAAACAATGGGTTACAAGTTGAAGGTGCTAGAAGGTATAGGGACAGACTAAAAAGGGATGGCTTGAAATAGTAAGAAACAATTTAAGCGTTCATATTTTAGCAATGGATGTGGCATTAAACAAAACAGAATGGTGAAACAGGATTCATGTAGCTGACCCCATATTGTCGGGATATGGCTTACAATGTTCTGATACCTGACATTGACAAGTTTCTCATTTTCTAATAATCTCAAGGGAAACTGCTAAATTTTCAAAACTAACAATTATCACGATCGTCATTTCTGCCTTAATTTGACAACATCAATCTCTGATTCCCCTTGGATGTACTCCTTTTTAATTTGTCATCCTTGAGAAAAAAGTATGAGCGGTGACTGGTGGGATGGTTCCACTGGCAATTTTGTGGGTTAATAGGGGTAAAAGAAATGCAGATATTTTTTTTTAAAGAAAACCAGATCTGATGGTATTACAGCAAATAGGATCCAGGGGTTATTATTTCTCTTGGTTGTCAATACATGAAGAGTTTAGAGGTGTGGGTATAATTCCTTTTTTGATGCTAAAATGTTGTTTGCCAGTCAGAAGCATGGATAGTGCAAGTGTTCTCTACATTCCCAGTGTATAGCACATTGATGCACATGGATTACTAGGGGTAAAAGAAATGCGCATATTTTTTAAAACAAAACCATATCTGATGGTATTACAGCAAATAGGATCCAAGGATTATTATTCTCTTGGTTGTCAATACATGAAGAGTTTAGAGGTGTGGTATAATTCCTTTTTTGATGCTGAAATGTTGTTTCAGGTCGGTGAGAAGCGTGAATGGTGCAAGTGGCCTCTACAATCCCAGTGTATAGCACCTTGATGCACATGGGTGTTAGTGTAATCTTTTGTTACATATACACAATAAATACAAAGCTGTTTAAAAAAATGTCCTAGTTTCATTGCACATACATCTCAATGCCTTCCTCTTGTGACTAATTTATTAATGTGTTGCTTCTCAATTACCCAGAACTCTGCTCCAAAGGCATAGCTAGCTGTGTGTAGACTGAAAGAACTCCTGAAGAAAGCTTCACTTTATTGGCCCAACTTTATTCTATTGGCTAAACCTCTTTTTCTTTTCTTTTCTTTTTTTTTTTGATTGGAAACGGTAACTTCATTAAATAACTTTCCAGATTTAAGTACAGCTGTCAACCCCCGAGTAGGTGTTGAGCCCCAGTTATCTTTCTTACAAAACTGCCCAGAACATACTCTCCCTCACAGTTCCTTGTTTAGCCGTGTCAGCTAAACCATTAGCTGATCTCCTTGTCCATTTGAAGCATGCACCGATCTCCCTTGTTGTATTATGGATTTCCCTTATGGGCTGTCTATAAATCCAGGCTCCCAACTTATGGCCCAACTTTAGTTCTATTGGCTAAACCTCTTCACTCTCTTCCCCATGGAGAGTGAAAGAACTCCTGAAGCAAGCTTCACTTTATTGGCCCAACTTTAGTTCTATTGGCTAAACCTCTTCACTCTCTTCCCCAAGGATAATTAAACCAACATATAAACAATACTGATAACCATTTGAAAGGAACCATTTTGTCCCTATGAAGTGATTACACATTTTGCCTGAAAAATGTTGATATTTTTAGATATAGAGGTGTTATATTATGTTGTAATATAGGGTCTCAGGCTGGCAAGCGTGAGACTGTTGGTTGGAGTCTGAGAGCAGCCACTTTGTGCAAAAAATGCCAAACAGTAGGACAATATACAGTCCACTCCTCCCAAGACCCCGGATGGCTAGGACCAACATTGAGTAATGGTCTTTTTATATTATTATATGCTGTAAAATTAAAGAAGTGTCCCAGCTGTGTGAAATTTCTGAACAAAAACAAGAGGATCAGCTACCAAAAGTAGTATTGTTTATTACACTGAGCTCCTTGAATATGGTTAACAGTGGAAAAACGAGAACTTGATTCATCCTGCACTTATTGAAAAAAAAAGGAACATGATTGATAAGATAAACTGATAAAAAACATGATTGATAAGATAAAAATAAACAGTAAAGACCAAAGCAAATTGTGTAGGTGGATGCAAAAGGATTTTGCCTCAACAAAAGTAGTAGGTATTGTTAGTGACAAGCAATCATGTTTCTGAACATATAAATCTCATAGTTTTTGATCTATACATGTCCATAATATATGATGGGGAGCACAATCCATTCCTATGCCAGCTGAGATCCCTAATGGAGCGTTGTAATCTACATATCTCAAATTTGAACAATTGTTGAACTGATATTCATCAAAAAAATTGCTGAACTAATTTTCTATGCTTATTCCTGTTAACAGAAAAAGCCTCATTTGTCATACCTTTATCTGTAAAAATATGTAATCACGAAGTTTTTTCCATGATGGTAAAGAAAAATTCATTTACAAGAAAAAGAAAATAAATACAAATTCAGGTGATAAGGTATCACCTGAATATGTATGAAACATTTACAATTCATTAAAACTTTGTGGTCATACGTGTGATCATAGTTTTGTGTATGGATTTTATATACAGTCTACTGAGTTTAATTCTTACTCGGGAGTCTAAAATTTTTTATACTTCATTCTGTTCTTGCAGCTATTGACTGTCATTTCTACCATTGATGATATGAACTATCCAGAGAAGACAGATACATATTACATTGTAAATGTTCCATATATATTTTCAGCTTGTTGGAAGGTAGCATTCATCATCTTCTTTAATTCCCTTTGGCCTTTATATTATAGTTTCTCTCTGCATATCCAGTCTAAGTTCTCAGCAATCAGCATAATTATCACAGCTTTACCAAAAGCAAGCTTTATTTGTTTCTGCGTCAACAATTAATGGTCCACCATCTGGCGTGCCAATAGCCTCTTCATGAAATGTTGGCAGGTTGTGAAGCCTCTTTTGCAAGAGAGGACAAGAAGGAAAATTCAGGTGCTGCAAGGTTGTGGAAAAGATGAGTTGTTGAAGGTAAATGCCTTTTTTTTCTACACATTGTTTTTGTACATGGAATATTTTGGAATAATGGTCTGATGTAAGCGGGGGGAAGTTGACATTGAAATCAGTACAAGCCTGGAATCTCAATTGGTTACATCACATGTCCTTTTGTTAAGACTCCTTAGAAGCTCCTCTGTATCATGTTTCTTTTTACAATACAATGCATGGTTTCATTTGGCTTCTTGTTTTTTTTTTTTTTTTTGATAATTGAAATGATTTTATAAAACAGCAATAGACAATAGTACAAAGTCCTCAAGGAAAGGTACGAGTTGCAACCTGTTAAGTACAGATTTCCAAATTAATAACAACTTACATAGAAGCACAAAAGAAATCTTCCCTAGAAACCCCCTGTTTGGCTAAAGCATCAGCCAAAGAATTAGCCGACCTACTAACCCATTTTACCTCAACTCTCATATTATTGGTTAACCACTTTACTTTTTTGATGAGATCTTTGTAGCCCCAAATGRTRGTATCCRRGTTTAGRAGCCACCTKGTTAYYACTTGAGAGTCCCCTTCAACTAGGAGATGCTCCACCCCAAGCTGGTTGG